TATTAATTTCACAATTTACTAATGCATTATTAAAATCACAAGTTGTGTCTGTTAACATTAGTTAATGCACTGTGAACTAACATGAACAAACAATAAACGACTGTATTTTTATTAACTAACATTAACAAATATGAATAAATACTGTAATAAATGTATTGTTCATTGTTCGTTTATGTTAGTTAATACATTAATTAGTGTTAACAAATGACACCTTATTGTAAAGTGTTACCAATATTATGAATAGAATATAGAATATAATTTACTTGCATCGAAGTCCCATTTTTGTATTCAGACGGATTATTTTGGACATTTTTTGGAAGGGGTTTCTATTTGAATGCAATCAAATCCTTTGCGAATGATTCTTTCTCGTACCGTACAGGAATCAGAGAGAGAGACGATGTTTGTGATGATGGCATGTGTTTGTCCTGCAGGTCAGGAGGTCGTCTTCAAGAGCCTCGGGGAGGGAATACTGGAAAACGCCTTTCAAGGATACAACGCCTGCATCTTTGCCTACGGACAGACAGGTGCAGTTATAGTGTGCTCTTTTGTGACAGGGACATCCGTTTGACTGAAAGACCTCAATAGATGCTCACTCTTTGTCACAAGAGCGCCGGTAATTACTCTAAACAGACCTGCAAGACGATAACAAGCACACTAACATATCGAGTTCACACTAGAAAAGCACACCAGGATTTACAGCAGACATGAATCTCACCAAAACACGTCCAATCACGTTTCACCGCAAGACATGAAGTAATATTTTGCATGAAAAAAATACATCCAAACATTACGATGTTTTATGACAATTAATGCACATTTGTCCTCTCAAATTCTCATTGGTGAGATTTGTGCAGATGTGTTTTGTTGTTATTCTCAATGATAATTCTTCCTAGACGAGTAAAAAAAAAGTCATCGTAAAATCATAAAACCAGATTCAACCTGATTTTTTCAGTTTTTTTGTTTGTTTTATTTTGGTCTTAAATGTTTAGAGTAAGAGTTGAAAGATAAATTGTATTTTATTTTTTCTTTACATAAAAATAATTTTAAAATAAAATAAAAATAAAGATTAAAGATCTGAAACATAGGAAGAATGTGTTTATTTTTATTGATTAATTATTTGTATATAAAGAGACATTTTACATGTTATATTTTTCAAATTTTTGCCATCATAACCAGATTAAACCTGATTTATATTGATTATTGTCTCAAATGTTTAAACTAAGAGTTGGAAAAAAAGATACATTGTATTTTGTTTTTTTCTTTACATAAAAATAATTTAAAAATAACAGATCCATTAAAGATCTGAAACATAAAAAGTGTATTTATTTATTTTTCTTTATTTATTTGTATATGAAGATAATTACATTTTATATTTTATCGTTGTTCTCATTTTAGTTATCGTAAAATATTCAGATTAAACCTGAAATTGTTTTTATTGCATTTTTTTTTACATAAAACAATTTAAAAATAAAAGAAGAAATAAGATACATCAAAGATCTGAAACAGTATGAATGTGTATTTATTTTTATTTATTAATTATTTGTATTCAAAGAAGAAATATATTTTGTCTGATTTTAATCTAAACATTAAAAAAAGCAATAAACCGAGAACAGAAAAAATATTTTTTCTTATTTTTTATTACTTGAATAATAATTAAAATTAACAATACTTAAAAAGCATTAATAATTAATAAGCATTTTTTCCTGTTTCATAATTTTTATGTATCTTTAAATTATTATTTTATTAATTATTTTAATAATTATTTACATTTAATTAAATTTTGTTATTATTTCCTGTTAATTGTAATATTTTAAATAATTTTATATTGCACAGGCACCTCAACTGAAAATCACCTGTAATGGTAACTGAAAGCAGAATTAAATTCAAAAGCAGTCATAAGTAGCACAGGTAGCAATAACCAACAATACATTGTATGGGTCAAAATTATCAATTTTTCTTTTATGCCAAAAATCATTAGGATATTAAGTAAAGATCATGTTCCGTGAAGATATTTAGTAAATTTCCTACCGTAAATATATCAAAACTTAATTTATGATTAGTAATATGCATTGCTAAGAACTTAATTTGAACAACTTTAAAGATGATTTTCTCAATATTTTGATTTTTTTGCACCCTCAGATTCCAGATTTTCAAATAGTTGCATCTCAGCCAAATATTGTCCTATCCTAACAAACCATACATCAATGGAAAGCTTATTTATGCAGCTTTCAGATTATGCATAAATCTCAATTTCGAGAAATTGACCCTTGTTTTGTTTTGTGCTCCAGGGTCACAAATATGAATCTGATGTATTTCTCCGTACATGAACAGGAAGCGTCTGTGTTTCCAATCACAGTCTTTCCTCTGCAGACGCAGCACATTGTCTGTTTCCTCTGCCTTCCTGCCCTGGTTCACCAACGTCTGCTGGCTGAGACACATCACCTGTGTTAAATGTCTTGTGTTTGTTCGGCAGGCTCGGGGAAATCCTTCTCCATGATGGGCAACAGAGAGCAGCCGGGCCTGATCCCCAGACTCTGCTGCTCGCTGTTCGAGAGAGTCTCCAGAGACCAGAATGAGAGCCAGTCCTTCAAGGTGGAGGTTTCCTACAAGGAGATCTACAACGAGAAAGTCCGAGACCTGCTGGATCCCAAAGGGTGAGCGGATTCTCAGTGCACTTCATATGCACAGTTCTTTGTTTCTTGCAATTGTTTGTCACATAAACTCTGAATTGCTTATATATCACAGTCAGATTTTGTCAGATTGTCAGAATTTTGACGTAAAAAGCCACAATTAACTTTATTTTTAATTCTGTTACGGAAACAAAAAAACAATTGTAAGATGTAACCTCAGAATTCTGAGAAAAAAGTAACAATTCTTAGTTTATGTCTTGCAATTTCAGTTCTATTTTTGTCTTTTTTATATCATTAAATTTTTTACCTTTTTACATCAATATTTAAATTTGTATTTTGTCTCTATTATTTGTTTTTATTTATAGTTACAATTTAATTAGTAAATTATTTCACGTCCTATTTTATGGCTTTCAAGTGTTTATTTTGTTATTTACATTTTTTTTTAAACATTTTTTAAATGTTTTTTTTTGTTGTTACAATTTTAGAATTTACATCTTAATTCTATATTTTGTTCGTGCATTTTTGAATCAATAAATGTTTACATTTTTTCATCATTTTCTGCTTTTGTACTATAATTTAAAAAAAATTAGTAATAGTTTTTAATTAGTAAATTATTCTTGACCTATTTTTATAGCTTTAATTTTGCTATTTAGTTTTTTTAAAGTTACATTTTATGCATTTTCAATTCTAATTTTTATTTAAACATTTTTTTAATGTTTGACTTTGTTTAATCATTACTTTGTTTTTGTGCTGTATTTACTTAACATATT